ATCTTACTCTGGGTTTTTCGATCTCAAAATTCTCTCAAAAGGTCTGAGAAATCATTATTCCCATAATGATATATAACTAGGGAATTTAGTATTGTTCATAACAATACATGGATTTCATAACATATTAAAGTATGTAAACATGTAATGAATCAAACACTCATCTATAAAACTATAGTAAGTATCAATACATCAAATGTATCATAATAAAAGCTCATACAATAGTTCATCATAGAGCACTAAACCAACAAACGTTGCATTTAGTATATCTTTATTTTTTTAGTTTGAAGCAAATGAAAAAGAAAATATGATGAAAATTGTAGTTTTTGAAGATTTTTGAAAAGTTTTTAATAAGATCGTAAAACATCGATATTTTATGATTTAAGGATTAGTTTAAAAAGATAATTTGAAAAGATTATTAGTTGTGTGTTTTGAAAAGATATTATGGATTAAGGATGAAAAAAATTTTAACTTCTCAATTTTACACAATCAATATATCCACTCTTTTTATCGCCTAATAAAACTTGAAAATCGTGTCTATTCGTACCAAAGATGCCACGTTAGCTCAACATAATCAAATTTTACATATGGGATGAAGTAGAATTGAAATCGAATTGAACCAAATTGATAAAACCATTTGGTTATAATTTTATTATGCTAAAACCGAACCGAATGAGATCGATTAGATGTATATAACAGTTCAGTTATGATTTTTGATAACCGAATAAATGGAATTCAAAATAACCAAACCAAAAATCGAACTGAAATACGAGATGATGACCCATAGTTGCACCAATCCAACAAATAAAATCTAATATTTGCGTGGGTTGAGTTTATCTCAATGGGTCAAGTTGAAATACTCACCTATTACACATCTCTTCTTTTATTAACCCATCAATTTTGGAAAACAACAAGAATATAGGATTGAAACTTTAAATTTAGTGAAGTGTAGGGGTGTTTATAATTATTCCATATAAAAAATATTCAGAAAAACAAATAATCAAATAAAATGGGTCGATTCGAATAATACACCATGAATTCGGATTCTAGTTTCAGAGGGTAGATATAAAAAAAATACAAAAAATACTCTTGAGTTTATTAAAAAAATATAAAATTATCTTTTAATAAAAAAAATATTAAACTAATTTAAAATTTAAAAGTTGTTTTCAATATATATTAAAATTTATTAAATAGTCATTCATCTTTTTTTATATATATAAAATTGGAGTTATGGTAATCGTGTGTGTTTGGATATAAATTCAGATAATCTCAAATATTTTGGTCTTCCATCCATATCCTAGAATAAACCTTACAATGAAAAACTATATAGATTTTGTTTCTTAATTTATTTAATTTTTAAAAATATTAAATCAAAACATCACTAATTAAAAACATTAAATAATGTAGTTGTTACTTAAACCATTCAAATATTCTCTATTACTATTCCTGGGTAATCACCAAAAAAACTCTGTACTTTTTCCAGAGGTCAACGAAAAAACTCTATACTTTTTTTGTTACCAAATAAAGCCCGAACTTAATCCAATTAACTGATAAAACTCTATATTTCTAAATTACTAACATAAAAACCCCGATACTGTGATGTTGATGACTGTATAAACGGAAAAACTGATGTGTCAAAGACGGAATTACTAAAGTATGTCCACCTAAGGTTATCTTGCCATGTCATGATAATTCATTTAATTTTAAATTAAATATATAATTTTCAAATTTTGTGTGCAGCAGATTCATTACTGTCGTCTCCATCTTCTTCTTGACCTCCGACTGGAATCCACCGCCTCGGTCGCCGTCAATGGTTCTGCTGAATCCGCAGCAAATTCTCTCGTCCGTGCTCTCTCAGCGAGGGTCGTCCGATTCTTCCAGAAACAAAGCCTCCGACTCAATTAATTGGATTAACTGGATTATCAGTTAATTGGATTAAGTTTGAGGTATATTTGGTAACAAAAAAAAGTATAAAATTTTAGTTGACAAGGTTTTTTTGGCATTACCCTATTACTATTCTTTGATCAAAGCCATCTTCATTATTGGGTCTCATAATTTATAGGCTGAAACCCAAATATTTTGGGCCCAGCCCAATTACCCAACCCATACATTATTATTTATTAATATTAGTTATTGGGCTTTTTCTGTGGCTTTTAGTTTTTTTTTTAAATTAAAAAATTGCGTCATTAAGTTGCTCGGCAGCATCGTTATCAAAAATACTAAATTGCAAGAAAGCTACGAGGCAGCTACAACAATAAGAGCACTAGGTTATGAACCATCCAATCGTAAACTTACACGTGTCTGCATCTAGTTGACAAACATAAAAAAAACTCTGTTCAATATATTAATTTCTCGGAGAAATATTGAAATTATTAATTGGTAAATTATTGTTGTTTTTCAGACATTTAAGACACTAGAAAACAGGTCTTGCGTCACTTTGAAGTGAAAAAACACAATGCGACACGACAAGCCCTTATTTTAGTAGTCAGCTTTTTGTCAAAAATTTCCAAAATTTCGAATTTTTCTTTTTTCCTCCTCTTCAATTTTTTCTTTTTGTGAATTTAGGGTGTAAAAAATTTGAATTGTCAACCCATATTACTAGTCAATTCGTTGATTTTGAATCATAATCATTTTAATTTTTTAAACTAATTAAAATAATTAATTTGAATGCAATTTGTATATTTTACAAGATAAAATTAGCGAATTTAAAACATTATAATAAAATACTTTTATTTTGAAATAATAATTTAATAAAAAAATATTTGAAGTAAATATAATATAAAAAATTATATCCAATCTCAAATAAAAATATAATAAAATATAACCTATAAGTTTTAGGGTTAATGCATATTTATTTTCAAACTCAACTTTATCTATTTTCAAATGATTTATTTGCATTATTGGTTCGTCACATTTTTTAACATAATTTCAATACGTAAATTACCAAAAAAAATTGATCGATTCAAAATTTTTAACTCAATTTTACAATTTAAATATTGTTCTCTTTATTATATAAAATTAAATAATACTAAAATAAAAAAATTAATACAAAATTTATTTGGGTATTACTAATTCAAATTATCGGAAAAACTATATTTTTAGATAACTTGATAGTTTTTGATAGAATTTAAATCTACTGATATTATTAATATGTAATAGCTTAATTGAATTTAAACATATATAAATTTTAAAAAATCAAAAATATTTTTAGAAAATATAAAATAGATTTTGAAATGTGAAATGGGTGGATGTAAATTACATCATGTATCTCCACCGTTTATGACCTATAAGAATAAGATCACAATATATATTTTCTTTTGTTACCGAAAATATAATTGTAAATATTTACTATAAATGGCTACACGATATTTAAATTAGTTAGACCAACTTATTCTATTATCGGGTTCCAATAATAGATGTTTCATCATATCTCAATTGTTCTTCATGTACAGACATGTGCGGCCATCACATTGGTTTTACCATATTGTTTATATTAGGAAATTATCCTATTTCGATTGGTGAAATCATAAATGCCTCAATTATTTTGAATTTGTTCAAATATTTAATCGTTAAAATAATAAAAAATGAGATCAACAACGATTTTGATCCATTCGTTTTTTACAACATAATAAATTTGTGTACAAAAAATAAAATTTTGTGTATTGCTTTTTCAAAACGGACAAGACCCACCTATTTCTAAATAATGGTAAAAAATCTAATAAAAATAATTTAGACCATATTATACTATAGTTATCATATTAAAATATATATTAAAAAATGCTATTATTGTTATATGACTTATTGTTTAATTATTTTCCCAATATAGAATATCTTTAAGAGGTTAAAAGTTTTGTTATATTGATTTTGGATTTCAATTATTTTCCAATTTATGAATTAATTTGGTAAGCCTTTCTCCACTTATCTAGCAAATAAAAAGGTTTTGTATTAGTATTTGTGATAACTAAACAAAATTATTGTCCAAAAGTTATCTAAATATTGGTTACGGGAACACATATAATATTTAATAAATTCGGATACCAATGCAGATCTTTTATCAAATATAGATAATTGTATCCTATAACATTACATAAATATTTTAATATTTATTAAAATTCAAAAATGTCATTTTTTGTAAACTATATTTAATATTTTTAAATTTTCAAATATATATCTGATATTTATTAAAAATTACTAAATATTTTATTTTTTATTTTATAAAATTTAGATTCATATACCTATATTATATTATATATATATATATATATATATATATATTCTCGGAGTATCCTAAATATAAATACGTAATTCATTGAATATGGATTTTAAATTTATATCTTTGGATATGGAGTAAATAAATTATTTTTATCCTATTCTACAAAGCTAAAAAAACACTTTCTTCACTTTTTTTTCTTTTGCATCTGTATTTTAAAAGTGTAGTTATCATTTTTCAACTTTGTTTATTGTAATTTTTCATTCTTCTGTATCTTGAAATAGCCACGTGTCTGGAGGAGATATGAAGAAGATCTGATTAGTGTTTATAATCCCAATTTAATTATATTATTAAAATAAGCTTACGTTTTGCATAGGGAGACAAAACGATGTTTCTAACCAGGGGCAAGGAAGAAGCAAAAAAAGAAACAAATAAAATCCCAAGGATGCATCTTTGAAAATGGCTTCTCATCTGCAAAATTCCTCTCTCTCTCTCTCTAATGGACTCTAAACCCTCACCAAAGTCTTCCCTTTAAGCCTATCCGATTGCCATCTCTCTCTTTCATAGATACCCTTTTCCTCTTTCTCCGGAATCTGAGCCCACGAAGCTCAGGGTCCGCCTGAGAAGCTCCGCCGC